GCTGTTGTTGTTGTTGTTGTTGTTTGCTGGCTCTTTTTCATTATAACTCGTTTTGTGTTTGTTGTTCGTTTTTGATATGGTTTGTTAACTTATTAATAATCATCATCTAATTAATTTAAATTGAATTTCAGTTATTCATTATTTCTGGCTAACAGTATCATCAGCGCGTAATTTACGCCCGAATATATGGAAAAAAGAGCAGTCACACACACACACACACACAATGCGACACATAATGCTTGAATTAATTTCGAACGAACGAATATACTGTACACAAATTCAAAAGTCGAACGAACGACGAACGACAAAAAAGTAACAGATTGTTACATCAATTTGTTCTTGTAAAGCGTGAAATGTCGACATGCTATTAAAAAAAAACCAACGTTGTTTTAATCTTATCGTTATCAAATTATCAAATAACAAACAATTAGAGGGACTTTTTTTTCTCTCGCAGTCATCGACGCTTCGCTAGCGTAACAATTCAATAAGCATTTTTAGTTTTTCACTTGAAGATTATAAATTATCTATTCCCGTAACATTTCAATTCGATTCGATTCGGTTTAGTTTTTTTTTCTCCCATCGACGTAGTAGTGTGACCATAAAGTATGACAACCAATTAAAGCCAATTTAGTTCAAACATTTTAGCCGAAATTTGAATTTTTTTTCCAGCGCTGTCGTTCGCTTTTCAACATTTTCAATAGATTGAAACTTGAAATTCGTGCCGATAATGGAATTTAGAGCACTGATAACTGACTGATTATTGAACTTTATTCCACGTTGTGAATATGTGTCGAACTTGGTCAAGGAAATGCTCAACGATGGTAAATACACACGTGGTTCCGTCTTTGATGCGAGGCAATGGCCGAAAATTTGATGGGCGAAATCATAAAAGTGTAAGATTATTAGCCGAATGCACGATGATAATATACATGTGCCTGCAAGAGAGGGAGAGAGAGAGAGAGAGAGAGAGAGAGTCGGTGAGTCGAATTCATCACCCAAATGATTGAATTTATGTGTTTGCGATGGTGGCGGCGGCGGCGGCATCGGCACTGATCGCCGCTGTCATTTGCC